TTCATAAATCTTCTGACCTTTGTGAGTTCTTATGTGAACCATTAAATGTTCTTTATTTAGAAAAGTTTCTCCACATGTCAGACATGGGAAAGCTTGCTGCTCTTCATGCTCACCAATGGGGAGCTCCATGGTTTCCTCTTTTGTCCAGGGATGTTCTGGTTCTTGCTGCTCTTCTTTTATCTGCAGAGGTTCTGGTTCCTCTTGGTCCAAACTGGAATGCATATCCTGTCCATAGAGCTGCTGGTCAGAGAAATCCTCCTCTTTTCCAACATAATCCTGCAGGCGGTCTGGAAAGACAAACACAGCAAAAAGGCGTTCTATTGGTGGTTTAATAAAGGACACCTCACATAAAAGCACCAAACTCTCTCCTTGAGGTTGAGGAGCGAGTGGATCCTATCAAGCAACCTGAAGATATGAAGTTCATTCTGGCCTAAATTTATTTCCCCACAAACAATTATTAAGGAAAGAAAAGCATTTACATCCAACACCACAGTGACTGTCTGGCAAATGAGGAAGTAATGAGACACCCTAAACTCAGCAGTGCTTCCTGTAAACCTCTGCCTGGAAGAGACATACCACAGCTCAATGTGACAGAGGTTGAGCTGATTTTAAATTATTTCTTTCTTGTTCAAAATAATTATTATGGTAAGAAAGAGAAAAACAAGCCATCTGGAGCAGCTTCCTAAATGTAGCAATCAGCAGAGCAAAGGGACTGTTATTTACTGGAAAAATTATTTGAATCATAAAATGAAGTGAGAACAGTTATAAAAAGATCACAGTGCCAGAAGAATTCAGGTATTGATCAGTCTAGACTGTACTGGAGGCAGAAAGGCCTGCAAGGCCTGGACAATGAGGTGATCACCTTCAGTCCCTTTCATGGAAATGCAGTATCCCTTTCTGGACACGTCAAAACAGCCAAGTTCTGTTCATATGATAACTTATCTGGGTTCCCCATCACAGAAGAGCAAAGTAACTCAGCTGTATCACTCAAGAGGAGGGTGCTTGCTAATAAAAGATCATTGCAAATTAGTAACATCTTGGCAATTTGGCGTAAAACTAATATCTCAAATTTTTTTAATTTATAATTCAAAATCCAATTTTTTTCCAATATCACCCCTAGCTTTTAAGATCCACCTGATCGCCAGCACTGCATTGTACATATTTACATTGAACAAATCAGTACGCTTGAAAATAACACCGCAAAGCTTAAATTCTCTACAATTCAACCAACAAGTTAATTTTATGAAAGCACAATTTATAAACACATAGTAGCATGTTAAATCAGAATTTTTAAAATAAAGCTTCGACTTCCTATTGTTGAAGCTTCCCGAGGCCGTATTATAAATCCCATGTTAGATTGTTTATATTCTGTCTGCAAAGGTCTACATATAAAAGAATTTGTAATAAAAACATTCCCTGATGAGAATATTGCTAAATAAATTCAGTTTTTTAATATCAGAAAAGTCCCATCCTTATGGCTAATGCTAACCTTCATGCTAATTACCGTAGCTTCCACCAACATTTCTGGTTGATGTATGGTATGTTTGTTTTCATCACCTTCCAGCCTAGGCGTCTGCCTGAGGTTTTTTGGGGTGGGTCGTCCCAGAGAGACGGGCATTTTTCATATTCCGCTGGATGTCTCTGTTTAAGATGCTAAAAAGGTTTGTGGTGCTGCTGCCTTTAACTGCGACTGCCTTAAAGGAATAGTACACCCAAAACATGATTAGCCTTCATTTTCTACTCACCCCCATGCTGAACAACACTCTGGAGTACTTTTTT